ATTCCAACATCGGTTCATATTTAAAAGCCAAGAGAAATTTTTTTTTTTTTTTTTTTTTTTTTTTTTTATGTCATGAGAAAAATTGTAAATTTTGTTATTTGTCTATTGACTGGCGGACGCCAACGTATCTAAACGATATTAAAATACGCAACTACGAGAAAACGAGTACGCACACGCGTATAAAAGATTTAATTAAATATTAAATGGAGAAAATGTAATGTCAATCTGATCTTTAATGAAATAATTGTAATCTCGGGAGTGAACGTCGAATGAGAATTATAAAATAATGCGATTAAACTGTAATTTCTAATGTCACAAGGTGACGTACCGAAGCAAAGAATAATTTCTACGTATACGTCGTCAGCGCCGAGTTCTTAATGGCACTTTAAAAGCTGGCTGTTAAAGAATAACACGTGTATTTGAGAGTTATCGACCTAATTATAAAATCCTTTTCTTCGAGAATAGAAGGATACTCTCAAACCCATTGTCGTCGATTACATCACAAATAAGTTGTTCGTAAATGTACCGTAGCGAAAAGAAAGACATAAGTTAAATTTAATAAAATATTAAAAAAAACGTTTTATTTCACGAAGACAAATTTCCGTAGTTCCGCAGGATCTTTATTGGATAGTGTATCGGTGTGTGACTTCTAAAAGACGATTCTCTTAAGTAACGGAGGAACGCGTGGAATTCGCGAATAAATTCCACCCGCGAATCGCAAAACGCGCGCGGTAATACACTCCCACAGAACGCGTTCGATAACTCTCTCCGCTCGTAACTTTATCTCGAAATTACATTTCTCAGAGTCTGGAGGTTTATCCCCCGACTCCGGTGTCATATTGAAGTTTGCGGTGTGATGACGAACACGCATTGAGAAGTTCGGAACATCTATTCGGGATTCTCTCGCGCAATCAGATTAGAGCTTGTCGCGAAGCGATTCTCCTGCGGGAGCTTTTAATGAATTAATTCTAAAGTTCAATATAAAATGAAAACACAAGAGCGACGTTTGCCAAATGCGTTCTGAAAATAGACCGCGATGCGTAAAGACGGGGTTTAAATCACTGACGAAGTCACTTAGTCGTTTTCACACGAGTTTCTGGTCTCTCAATAGAATCGCACCCATTAAAATCCCGCAGTTGCAAAAAGCTGGACAGCACGTGCGTGGACGTGAAGCGCCGGCGATGGAGTAAAAGGGCCTTCCAGCGACGATTCAGCGAGGTTGAGGTCCGTCTGCGTCAGACTTCCTTGTCCGCGTCTCAGGGTCAAAACGAAGTCACCGACCTGCCAAAGTCACCGACCGCCTCGCGGCGCCGAAGTTGCAGCATCGCGGTCGCCAGGCCCACACCGGACCTGCACAGGTTTATTTTGTGTTTTCCTCGTAAAATGTTGATTGATCATCGTATATATATTCGCGCGGAATCTGCTCAACGTTTGCACGACGATCAATCTGCCGAGCGTGTGTAAATTATTGATTGAAACGTCGCTGAGATTTACGAGGACAACATTCGGACGCGCGTAACGAACACAAACGTTGTCTATTATCGCATTGCAGGTTTCTTCAGGCCGAGGCGGGTCCTTGGGGTCACCTGTCGCCGTCGCCCAGAAGCCCCGTCAGAACACCGGCCGTAAGTCCCGGAGCGATGTCGTCGTCGTCGCGTCTGAGTGCGGGCGCGAGTTCCAGCGGACACAGCCCGACGAGTCCTTCCGGCCGAATCGGCGCGACCTTAGGTGCACGTCCTAAACATCGCAGCAGGACAGGCAGCATGCCGGCCGTTCCGCGTCACAAAGTAAGCGCGTAAGAAACAAAAGTTGGGCAAACTTTCAAAAAATTTGAAATAAAAAAAAAAGAAAAAGCTCTTTAAAATCTGACGAAATGGGAAGACGATTTGGGAATCTCCCACGCTTTGGGAAAATCAAGGTATAATTAAACCGATGCGAGGAAGTGCGCATTTGCAACCTGATATATCCTTTATTTACGTAACAAGGGAAATCTCAATATTCCAAGAAGTGACGAAATTTACAGTCAATTAGATTTACGTGTTTAACAGTTCTGTTTTTAGAAGCGAAACTAGTTGCAGTTATCTTGTGCATTAAATTAACTTCGCGATTGCGTGGGTGGGAAAACAAACCGAGAACGCGTGCTACGAGTCTTATGTATCGATCGATGGCGCACGTGGCTGAGTTAATTTCCTTAGCTATTGTCGGCCAGGCTTTAGAAAGCGCGTTATTGCCGAAAGGCTTTTCTCCGTGACGTAACGGGAAGATTTCGCGCGCGAACCAAATTACGCATGTGAGAGGGTCGTTGAATGAAAACGAGCATAATACAATCACGGCTGTGTCATTCTTCTCGAGTTTCAGTGAATATTTGAATAAATACACACACGCACGCACATTTGCGAAACGACACGAAAATGGAAAATTGTTGCGACGGGACCGTTACGGATTGAATACCGGGATGGGGAAAGAGAACGACTGTTCCGCATCGCTGATTTATCTTTGTAGTTGGAAATCGTTAAAGCGCGTCGCACATGTGTATGTATGTGTATTTGTCGTGTACGTTCTGTTATTCTCACACATTCTGTCAGGATTGAAAATTAAATATTATTATTTTGTGGAACTTAACTGCGCTTGCTCCCCATTCCTCCCCAGCTTTTTCCGGTTTAATTAATATGAACAATAAAACGTACGTTTATTTGATCTTTTCATTCAAAAAAAATTAGAATTTTAATACACACAATTACAGAAAAGTTATAAATTACGAAGTGTTATATTTATAGACGAGGATTTTTTTAAATTTACACTTGTATAAAAATAAAAATACAATCTATCTCCGAGTCGATCAATGTAAAATTTTTCTCGACACGTACGAACATGTACAAATGGTACTACCGTGACAATGCGCACACAGCACAGTACAAATGTCAGAAATCTGCCGTGGGAGATGCGCCAATTCCCGGCGCAACTCAAGCGTCGACGTTGAGCGCGAATCCGACTTTGTGACCGCCCCGAGCGATTTTCGCGCAGTCGATGTTAAACGAGAGTATCAGCGTTACCGCGTCGCTCAGTTTCTGCAAAAGACTCGTGGCCAGTTGGCGATCGGTGTTGAACTTGACTCGAAGAATCGAATTGTCGTCGATCTTGCATTTCGCCGCCGCGCCGACGCTCCACTTTTCGACGTCGCCTCGTCGCGCGTACAGACCGTTCGCCGCGACGTTGATCTTGGAAGTTACTAACGAAAGAAATCACACACAGTCAGTTCGGAACATTGGTTTCAAAATTGGTCTTGAAAAAGAAACGCGAAGGGCGCTTTCGTTCTTGTGTAACACAGTTGAAATTCGTTTATTTAATAATTTTATTCGTTAATTTGATTTTGAAGCGCGGCTGAATCGAGGCGCGTATAATGTTGCATAATTATCGCGGATACGTATAATGATGTACGGCTTACGCGTCCGGTCTTTGCCGTCACTGTGTGTGTCACACGGCGCCGTCAGAGAGCCTTTACGCGCTAACACAACTAATTATCGCGCCTGTGCTTCGCCCGAGGAAATTGATAACGTCGCCGTGACGTGTGCGCCGATGCGTATTAAACGATTTGTATTATACGTTCATATTTCGCTTATCTGAACGCTCAGCGACAGGGTCTCATTACACTCGCCTCTGAAAACAGTTTCACATTTACCTTCATTACTCACGCGAGACGCAGTAATTTACCTCTCGTCGACGATGCGACTTTACGACGCGAAATAAACAATAACCTAAGAGGATTAATTACCGAAGCAAGGGGGTAGAAAATAGACTTCAGAGATTACTCGGCAAAAGTGTCGCGTCGCGCTATTTTCTCGACAAATCGTGGTGTCTGACTCTACCTTTGTACAACACGGACAGTCCGTACTCGCTCGGTATGTTGGTGCATCGGAAGTGGAAGTCAACGTCGGGACAGTAGTAAGCCAGTCCGATGTCGTTCTTCGTGATCTTGCTTGTACCGGTGTCGTAGCCGGCGCAGTAACCCAGAAACAGATCCCGACATCTCACCACGACCGAGCCGAGCAGGCTGGTGCTCGCATCCAGATCGTTGGCTGCGAACGGGATTAGAGGGAGAGAAAATTGGGTAATTCGAACAATTTGACGTGCGACGCGAACAATTTGCGTGCCGTCGCACACAACTGATTCGCATAATTGGCCGAAACGCACCGCGAGGATTATTATTCGATTTCCGCGCGAGCGGTCGTGTAAGCGAGAAAAATACAAATCTCTCGTACACGAACTCCGTTCGCGTTTAATAACGCGATTGGTTTGCCCCCGCGAATTTGTCGCGAGAATAATGTCGCTGATTCTCTATCGATCAATAAAAAAATGTTTTTAGTTTTTACTTTTTTTATAGTATATGAAACTTTTACTGTGTCGCGTGATTAAAGTGCAATCTCCGGTTTCTCCAACGGGCGTTGAAACAAAAAAAAAATACGTATGAAAATACATATCGCGATATCGAGAATTTCCATTCTCGTAATATGACGAATGTGTCAGAATTTTTAGATCACAGTAATAGAAAGCTGCGAGAAGCGAAAAAGAGAGAAAGAGAGGAAAATCATGCGAAACGGAGATTTTTATGTATTTTTCGAGGAAAAATCAAGTTTTCCTTTAAAACACCAATTTAAACGTACGTATTTGTTTATTTGGATTCCTAAAACGTAACTTCGATGTTTTGGACTCAAAAAAAAACGCGCACCGTATTTTTCAAGCAATCGGATTAAACTGTTTTAATATTTAAAAGGTTGCACTTTCGCAGTTACACAAATTAATTGCGCACTCAGCCCACAACTGTTTCGTGCCCGTAATAAACAAAACGCGGATTAGCACAAACTGACTGTTAAATATTCTTTGCCCTAGATAATTGCAAAACGGGACTCGCAACTGCACCAATGCTGCGAAAATGTGAAAACCGATTTGCCTTTTTGTTGGAGTTTGCATCGATGATGCAAAAAAAAAAAGTTTTTCTCGATTTTTTCCGGAGCGTCGAATTAAAATGTGACCTTATCGTTGCCGCGTTCCGGACGTGTTCGTATCGGTCGGCGGAAATTGACGTTTTGCGACAAGTCCGCGACTCGTTTAGCAAACAGTTAAAGTGATTGAATCTTCGAAATCTTCGTGATATCACAGTTGGAAAAGGATCTTAGCGCGGAGTTTCAAAGCGTATAAAAAGAATTATTCATTGAAGTTTTCCTCGATTGCGACTGCGAAAGTAACAAAAGTGCGCGACGAGAGAAAAAGAAAGACGAAGAGAGAGAAAGTTTGATTTAATTACTCGGGAACGGGCGAAAAAATACGTCGTTCTTATTTTACGCTTCCTACAATTATCGCTTTTAGACAGAAAACGGCAAGGAATGTCGAATGCGAGTACTTGAAATTTTGACGTTTTCACATCGAGAGATAATTAATTGATAACAAAAAGGAGAAAGAAAAAGGAGAGAGAAAGAAAGAATCACGTTCTGGTTTTATTTAAGTATGCGAGCACCATTTTTACGACCGATATATATTAACCGTTTGCGAACTGAATATTTAATCGTAGAAGTGCTTCTCATACACGCACATATATATGTTTTATCATGTTATCAGAGATCTCAGAGAGTCGGGTTTTATGTAAAGAAACATTTTTCCTCGTGGATTTTATATTTATGTTTCTACGCGCGAGGGGCTTTACGACATTGGAAGTAATTCCGTGTGCACATAAAAGATTCTTTCTAAACAACATCGCGCTCTTTATTTTATAAATCATCCTTTTATTAACGGAACCGAGAGAATGTGATTTCGGGGTGTATAATTAATTTTTTTTTTTCCTTATGGTAAAAATAGATCACCGTATGGCCCTTTTACTCTTCGACGCGCAAGCGGTGACCTTACCGAAGCTGTTTTACCTTAACGAAACTTATAAATAGAGTGATCTTGTTATATATATATATATATATATATATATACATAATATATAACAGTATATATATAATAAATATTTTACCGCCCGCTTCTCTCTTAGAGAAACCCGCCAAGGTTCTGCAGGCATTGTCGGTAAAGCGATTAACGTTGGAATCTTTCTCCGAACGCGAATGCATGCCTCTCTCTCTCTCTCTCTCTCTCTTTCTCTCTCTTTTCACCCTCTAATACAGAAAACGTTATTTTATTCTACTTCCCCAAGAGAGAAGCGCGTTTTAATTTAATTAAATCAGATCGGGAGACTCGTGTGTAACTAACAGATTTCGCAGCGCGCGTTGATCCTCCGATTAGCAAATCTGGAACCGACTTTCACGCTTTTTGCGGCCGTTTCCGGATTGTAAGTGCACTCGGACAGCAAATCAACGCCCTTCATTAGCAGCCCATTAAACTCGTATCCCAGGAAAAGCACGCCCTCGGTCGTCCATTTTAGCAACAGAGCTCCGGCGTCCGCTTTGTACTTGGTTTCCATTAAACCGCTTAACTGTCGTAAAATTCATTCTGTGAGTAAATTATTCCGGATTTTATTTCTCCGGTTTCGAAAACCCACCCGTGTGTATCTCGTCCCGTTCCGAGAGAAAACACATGTTATCGAGATTATTCCGATTAAATATTGCTTGTGTGTGTATATTCAATTTATTTTATTTTTAATCTATTCTCTGTGTTTCGAAAGAGAGCAACCTAAACAAGAAACAAAAAAAAAAAAACTAACAAACAAATAAACGACACTTGTTCAAATATAACTGTTGTGTAACATGTGAGCGCGCGCGAATTCTAGCAAAGGTCAATAAAAAGCCAACTTTGACCTGCTGACGTGCAAGCTTCCGGTAACAACTTTATTGACGATTAAACAAAACGCGGAGTTTTATAGGCTGGTTATTGCTCTTTTCTGGAATTTGATGATACTTGAGTTTCAGCAACATCTTCCTTCTCCCAAGTCACACGCGTGTGTAAGATAAAGCGAAAGAATATCAGTGTGTAAATATGGTTGCACAATATAGTTGACAATAAGCGAGCTCACACGTTTACATACATGTACGTATATTGTTATAAAAAGCGTCAGAAATCAGATCCGTACATATTTTCACATATATATCTCCGCGTTTAAAGCAACGCTCTCGCCACGTGTCCGTGCTCAGCTGCGAATACGCGTACATATATTGTAAGTATAATCCGATGTATGGACAAAGGCAAATATCGCTATTCGAGTTAGCCGAGTTGGCGATATTTTCTCGCGGAAAAATGTTCGCGGAACAAGCGACGCCAGTCACTCATTTTTCCCACAAATTTTTAACGAAATGCCTACCTGTTGTCTCGTTGCAACATGTACGTATAAACGTGTGCCAAATCGGAGATCTCGTTTATTTTGCTCGACACTTTTCGAAACTTTCGGGTGAGAGAATGCGATTCAGTGATTTCCGAAAATTGAAAAAAAAAAAAAGAAAAAAAAAACGTTTGTGCAATATAGAAGCTCGCTCGCCTTTGACTCGTCGCAATTCAACGTGGTGTCGCTCGTCATCTGAAATCTCTTGGCGGATCGCGTTTTGACGTTGAACTTGATGAGGCCCTTGCCATGGTGGTAGCCCGTCGTAAAAACGTCTCTCGCGTTTTTCCCGAGATCGGCGAATGTTGGCACTTCCATCACGGATTCAGGGACGAGTGGATTGCTTCTCTCGTGTCACGCAGATGCGTGTGCGGAACCTCTTGTCTCTGTATTAATAATAGAACGTGATAACGCGGAATGATTGTGCACAATTTAGGATTTTGCGCGCATTTCGCGATCAACGTTAATTATTTAAATATTTGTGACCGCGCAAATTGTATTTCCCGGTTCGTACGTGTGTGTTGCTTGGAATAATTTAATCTGTTTTCGTGCGTCGGTTTCGAGTGCAAATTTTCATTAATAATCTCAACGTTGTCGTTTTCCAACACTTGGGAAGTCGAACCACCTGAAAATTCTGACCGAACCATCTGAATTTTCTCTTCCCGTCGTAGACGTACGTTCTTTCTCTCGTGTTCGGTTAAACGACTCGGGACTCGACGAACTGTGAAGCTTCGATGAAATTCAGACTGACGTCACACGCGAGGTTTTTTCGGGATGACGAAAACATGGTCGACGTTAACTTCTCGTCATGGACAGAGAGAAACGAGATTCGAAATAGCGGAAGATTACGATTTTTCGAAAAAGGACGTCGTCAATATTTATTTCATCGCTTTATATCACGAGCTTTTTTTTTTAGGAGAAGCGAGGTGAATTTGATCGAGATACGAAGCGAGTCGCAGTTCGAACTATCGATATAAGGTCGACACATTCAGTCGCGTACGTACGTATATACGTACGTACTTACGTTCTGTACAAGTAGCAGACAAGGTTGAACAATCCGCGATGAACATGTTACACACAGAGCGCACCGGTGTTTGGATCGATCAGCAAATGCGTTAGGATTCATTGTGACCTTAATATGCACTCGAGAGTCTATATTGCGCACTCTTCTCACCTCTCTTTCCGTTTCTCGTTTTGCAGCAAAAAGAAAAAAGATAATAAATAAGAGCATCGTGCGCGACATTCACGGTGCGAAATTGACAAAATTAAATACGTCACGATTTTTTCATCATTCTCGGTAGCTCTCGCAATTTAATGTTTTTTAATCAATAAACGTGTGAGACAAATCTCATTAAAAATGTCACGTGCGCGTACGTAATTCGTACATACAACATTGCAAAAGGGATTACACTCTCGCGGAATATTTATTCTCCGTGTAATAATTTTTATTCGTTATTTATTCTCAAAGAAATACACGCTAACGCAAAGTTGTCGGAAATGAAACTACCGCTGGCGGAGACGGATTCGCGGATTCTCTTTCAGCATTTCTAATCATGTTTAATCTCACGGATCGTATATATATGTTTTTTCCTCCTTCCCCAATTGTTCAGGTATCAGGTGGCGCTTCGTAAACCGTTCTCGCGCAATTGTTATTTGTTGCAGCCAATAGCCCATACAAAGCGCGGCAGCGTGGTAGATCGCGAGGAGGTTGACAACGACGAAGGCGTGGAATATTACAGACTCCGATCCTTTTCCATCACGGCAAATGGGGTGTTCAACGTGGGCGATTTATTCAAGGCGCGCCGCAGCAGCGCCAACTCGTCCAATTGCAGCAGCACCCGCGACATGAGGCGGCTCAGGTGAGAATGTATACAATCCGGTCATTTTTTTAAAAGGACGTTATCTCTCGCGGACGGTTCCGTGCAAGCGCGCGGAAAAGAAAGAAATTTATTTTCCCCGAGATACGCGCGGAAATTAATTTCAATGACGAGTTGCGCGCGATCTCGCAGTTTAGAAACGTCAAAACTTTCCGAGAGAGAGAGAGAGTTATCTCGGAGAAAAAAAAACAGTCGAGCGAGTGTAAACAATTGTTTAACAACTATACAGAGTTGCAATTTACAGTTGGTAAATTTGTGAAGGAGAAAACTCTCGGATAGCAATTTGGGTCCTTGTAATTATTTTCATTGTCCGACACGCTACTCGCAGCGTTTACATTTCTCACGCTCGAAGAAGTGCGCGAAATTAATACGAAGATAATTTATACGTCACGTTTTCTCCGCCGTTCATCGTTCGAATAATAACAATTGCAAGAGTTATATTACAACACGGTATTGCGCGAGTGCAATTGAAGCTTTAGGTATTAATATAATCATTCGAAATTTTCGTTTCTACGGAAGCGTAAAAGTGTAACGCGATACACGATCGGATATACGACGGAAACGTTCGACGTGCGGAGAACTTGCGGATGTGCTTTCCTCCTCCGCATTTTCCATGTTCCTAATCCTGGATGTTTTTTCTGCTTTTAACGACTTCGTATCACGTTTCTCGTTGGCAATAAAAAAAAAAAAAAAAACAATTCGGGTGATTTTCTGTCTCGCGCGACTTTTTACGGAAAAACTTTCCGTTTTCGATTCTTTCCTCCGATATGATTATCCTCGTAAGAATTCGAGTCGGCTGATCAAAATGATCAAAAAGCTGTAGCGATTCTTTCGTGAGAGGATCAAACATTTCCGTCTCAATCGTAAAAATAAAATTGTACATATTGAGAAACTACGAGAGGAAGAGATTTTTCGCGACAGAAAAATCGCGCGCGCACGTTGATCCCGCGAATGAGAAACTAGTATCCGCGAAAGCGCTGCCTTTGACGGGAGATCGACGCGTCGAAATCTAACTTCATCTGTCGATGCAGTTTCCGCACACACACACACACAGAGCACCGGCTTTCTCGTGATTATTTGCGCGCGTACTCGCTCGATTACTCGCAAACTCCCGCGCGCGCAAATCCTTGAGGATAAACTTGCTTCCACTTGGAGGGCGCGTCTTAATTGCCTGCGGGTAATTATACACTGGTTGCGCGGGTAATAAGGATCACCACCGTAAAGAAACTCATCCCGCGTTCTCTTTTGAAGGAGATTACGAAAGGACGTCCGCTCGCTTTTTCTCCTCCGCTATCTTCGGGGCAAAAATCTACCTTCTACAACGATCGCGGGAAACGTAAAGCGACGCTACGCACAACGTGTCAATCTTAGAAAGTGCTTTTTATTGCGGAAAAGGATTGAAGCGAACGAGGACGGTCCACAATGATCCGACGCTGCGAATAATTTTATTTCGCGCGAATTCTCTCTCTCCTCTCTTTCTCTCTCTATTTTTTTTATTTTTTATTTTTTTTGTATAAAATTTCTATCTCAGATTCTCGTTGTCGCGTCGTTCGAGGAATATAAAAATAGACGTTTTAAAAGGAATCCGGTGGTATTATTATTACAATACGCGGCGTTTCTTTTGTGACGCTTTTTCGCGTTTCGCTTTGTCTTGCTTCGAAGAAACGTGAATTCTCATTTTGCCGGTCTACATTCTCATTGGAATACGCTGGTTTTTAGACGCGCGTAAGAGCATGTACTTGTTTTACTTGATAACGACACCGACGAAAGTGGAACTCCTTAATGACGACGACAATAAAATAAAATAATAACAACGAGGAGACGTGTGTTTAAAATGAGAATCAAGAGAGTAAAAAAAAAAAAAAAATTGTTTGATTAATTGAATTGTTCTAAAAATATTACCGCGTCCTTAATCGCGTTTTCCGGCGGGAATGAAATTGTCGCGCGTTGTTCTCGCGGTTTTCCACGGTGAGAGCGCGCGGGAACTTCTGGGAGCGAAACTCTGCTTTCCGCGATAATAGCGATAATAACCGACAACGAGCTTAATAAAACTTGTCGGCAGAATTATACGTAATGTAATGTGCGCGCATTTTCCGAATAAGCACAACGCGATATATTCGACTACGTATGTTTGTCGTCAATATATCGCTCTGACGATCTACCCTCGAACACGTGCATTCGTTTCTGCGATAATATGGCTTAAGTACAATACGGGTATGATTAGAAGAAAAAGAGAGAGATAGAGATAAAGAGAGGACTAAATATAGAAAAGAGAAATTGTAGGAATATGATTCTGCTTATTTCAAAATGTAATTTTACAACAGTGTTATCTTGTTTGCTCGGGTTTTTTTTCCTCTTCATCGTGGGTGTAGAGAATCGAAATGACATTCCATTTAAAAACTCTTTCAAATGGCAAATTCTCTTTACGGACAAACTTTAAATTTTTTTCTTTTTTTTGCCGCGTGTCCGGTCGAGGAGGAATAGAATTTTGCGCGCGACAACAAATACGTTTGTTGCAATTACCGTTCCGGTTCGCATTTTACATCATTTATTCATCGCCGCGTACATAGAGATGTTTTTTTTCTACTTTTTCGAGAGAGTTTCAGCTTTTTATTTCCATCCGATTCCAGTCTGGCGTCGCAGGGTCTGGTCTACGACGCGGACGAAGCCGAGCAGGTGGTGACCACGCACAAAGTCGGGATGCTGGGCGCGCAGGGAGTCGGGAAAACATCTCTCGTTCGCCAATTCGCCACAAGCGAGTGCAGGTGCGCGTACGACTATTCGCCAGGTAAGCGCCGTTGTTTGTGTTCTTTCTTTCTCGTCAATTTAATTCTTGATACACCAAATAGAATTAATTCGACCTCGTGTGACGCGCGACGCGCTGCGGAAATTGAACATCTCTCATGTGAAAAGCGCTTGCCATCGAATCATTTGTGTGTGATTAAATCTACGGATATATATATCGAGGAGGGAAAAAGAGAGAGAGAGAGAGCGCGGGGAAGAATAGCAATTACGTTTCTATTCGCAAAGGCCTGCTTATACTTTTCTTTTCATTCGAGAATGCGTCTGACCCAGCGGGTTTGCCTTTTGTGGCAGGAAATTGATGTCGCCTCTCTTTCTCTCTGTGTAGTGTTCGCTTTTAAAGGAGTTCCGAACGCCGCGTCGTCGGATAAACGTCTTTTCATGAAACACACTGCGTTCGGCAGGTTACGACCGCCGTACAAACGCGCGTATCACGCAAGCCAGTTTGCATTTAAAATGCGGACATTATATTACCCTCGACGAGAGACGAGCGCGCTAGCTTTGTTATTCGCGAAATTACGTTCGCTCGCGCGCCTTTCCGTTTGAACGAGATTTTTAATTAATCTCTTATAAAAAGCGCGTCCGCGTGAATTAAGGTCCGTGCGCGAGAAGCATATTTTGCGATTTTGATTGTGTGCGTCAGTTTAACAACTAATTACGGGAAAATTATTTTGGTAAATGCGCGCGCGCGCAACATACACGCACACACACACTCAGCATTAACACTTTTACGAAGGACTTCATCGATTTCCGCTTCGTTAGAATTAATTTCGTTATCGACGTTTAAATATATAAGCTCGACACGAGAAAAGAAAACACGCTTCCGCGTTCTTTTACAGATGAAAGGATCGAAATGTTGAGATACATATGATAAAAAATTGAGATATATGTCATAAAAATATCTCTGCGACGTTATTTAAATAAGTAAATGGAACATATACAAAAAAATCCCCCGAGAGAGAGAGAGAGAGAGAGAGAGAGAGGACAAATCGCGATTACACAATAACATTCGATGTTCAATTTTATATACAATATAATTGCAATCAAAAATGTATTGTCACAAGCGGGAATATATGAACGAAGCGTATCACATGCGACGTATTTCGGGAACGGGAATTTATCCGCACGAACGGAAACGTTTAGGACAGGTTGCCCGCGGCAGCAGCTTTCGTTTATATAAAAACAATAACAACAATAACATTGAACAGCCTGTCCGTGTCAAATTATTATTAATAATACACGAGATTTCATTTGGCAGAGAGCAATTTCGCTTGTAATGAATTATCCCTGAAGCTTGATTGGTGTTTCTCTTTGCGAATTCAATGAAATTCGTCCAGCAGTTCGATATACCCTACTGTATAATACGCACCTACATCTGTAATTAGAACTCGCGCTCGTTTGCGATTAACACGTTTCGGTACATTTTCCGCGGTTTTGCCTCGATCGGAGCTCGTTACGACGAGATAAATCGAACGTATCGGTGTCGAATGACAACTCGAAGTTTAATTCAACAACGGCTGCAAACTCACTCTCACTCACACACACACACACACGCAATACATGTGAGATATGAATACATGAATAACATTTGTACACGCACAATATCTTGAACTAAATTGCCGTCGACCCAAAACAGAAGAGCTTCTCTTGTTCTCTTTTTTTTAATCTTCTTCGCTACGGCTTTGTCTTTCGAGTGCGCGCGTATATACCAACAATATTTTCCGGCATGTTTCCTCCGACCAGGTCACTCATGTGGCTTTCAGCGCTGATTTTATTGAAACTGCACATGCTTATGAGTCCCCGTCGAACGAGGAGTTGCTGGCCGCCCGCTAGCTTTTCAAAGCCGACCCCGATCGATTTTGCCTCCGGATCCCGAAACGAGAGAGAGCTTCATCGATATTTCGATATATTACGTTAAAACAAATAAAGTGACGGATAACTTTTTTCTTTGCATTATTATGACAATACAAGCTCACGACCTAGATCACGTAATGGTTCCTCGGAGAACGAACGATTGATTCCGTGGTTTTCTCGTGACAAGAGAGTTATCGTCGGTTCGGGTGTAATTCGATTTGTCTTTCCAAGATAAACATCATTTTGTACACGTTATATTTTCTCTCGCACTTTTGCTTGAAAATTTTCTTGTGAAAACTAGTGCGTCACTTAATTAAGAGAAGAATTAAAATAGAATCCTGCGTACTGGGGTGATTCTTATTTGGTGAAAATGTTTTTTTGAATGTTTTTCGCGTCGTTCTCCAGAATGGTTTCAATTGCTAAAAAAAATAATCTAAAAAAGTTCAATTCAATCAGTATATTGATTAGTTAAAGAGATTTTGAGATCTGAGTGAGATCTCGCATCTCACTTGTCTCGTCAAGACCAAATTAAGCAATTTTTTTGTTTTTTGTATTATTTTTTTTTTTTCAAAAACCGTTAGTCGTACAAAAAAAGTAATAAATGATAAAAAATGTACTTCCGACCCAGATCTACAACTTTTGTTTAACATTTTTTGACATGATCAATAAGTTGAAAGATAATCAAATGCAATATCGATTGTTTTAGATATTTAAATAATTGTTTTCAATTTTTCAAGAGGCTCCTTTTCTCCTTGTCCGATCGGGCTGAACGTTTTCACAGATTAATTTTTTTCAGCAATTGGAATTATTCTAGAGAGTGCCGCGAAAAAATTCAAAAGTCAAAAATAAGAGCCGCCCTTCTATACACAGCAAAATGTAAAATGTAAGTATACAGTAAAAATGAGAAACGTTATAAACTCAAATTGTTGTAGCGGCGCGTAAAGAAAAAGCGTATAATTTACGAATTCGTCGTAAGAAAGAAGATATTGTCTTCCGCGTTGCTTCTTCTTATTTCGCTTCATTTTACATATGTTTATTGTAAATCTTAGCGAGTTTTTTGCGCGATTTTTCACAGACGAGGAGTGCGCGCAGAAGACCATCTGCGTGATGCTCGACGGACAGGAGACACAATTGGAGATCATTGATCACAGAGCTGGAGACATGTCAGTGAGTAAATGTGTAACGTGTGTTTTCTCTCCACATTTGGAGAATGTCGCGAATAGAACGTCGCTCTTACATCAACGGAGTTGCGATCGCGCGATTTTACTGATTGTATCTTGAACATCGGAAGAAGTAATTTACTTGCTTTATATTCGTAAGTGAACTCGTAGCGTAATTGTCTTGTCGAGTTTTTCTTATCGACGTTGCCCGTCAAAAAACGTCGGCGATGAGCAAAACCGTTTACGAGAACCGTAAGCATACGATATGATTGCGCGTATTTACGTGTATGTGCAGGAGAAAAATATGAGTGTTCTTTTTATCCGTTAAAGGAAGACAAATCGACTCGGGAGATCGATAGGCGAGAGCGGCGGAAGAGAGAGCAATGTGAATTATTTGTTCGGATTTATCAAGATGAATCGTAGGAGAGACTTCAGCGCGCGCGTGCGTATAGCGCGCGTATATGATAATATGATGAAGCAAAAACCGCTGTCAGTAGCAACATGATAAAAAGCGTATATGCGAGTGCAATGGCGTAGAAAAAAAAGCTTTTAAAAACACGCGACCTACTGAAAAATAAATGCGTTTTTTTTTTTTTGTGTATTCGATAAATGCAATACTTCCACGCCACTTATCGCAATATCGCGTGTTTCATTTATTCGAACGATGGAATTTGCCGATTGACCGGAAGATAAAAAGCCGACGATCTCTCGTCCGCCGTCGCTCCCGGAAAATCAAACGTGCGCGTTTTTTCCGCGACGACGAAAAGAATTTTCTTCTATTTCTTCTGTTTCATTTCTGCCGAGGTGGAGACTTTTTGCTCGACTTACAATCCGGACATATACGTGGTCGTGTACTCGGTGGTGAACAAAAGAAGCTTCAAAGAGGCGGAGGAGATGTTGGTCTATCTGACGAATCGCAATTACATGACCACTCACGGTGTGATCCTGGTCGGCAACAAAGTGGATCTCGAAAGGCAACGGCAGGTTCCGTCGGAAGGTGAGTTTTTTTTTTTTTT